TGATCATTGCGATGTGTTCCAAATAAAAAATATTTTATTCCAGTCCAAATCACTCAATTACTTTAATAAAGAGTTATTGTATAATGTACAAAATGTTGATACATTTTGATGAATATTTACAGCTACGGCTTCAATACCGTAGACGGTTTTGACCCGATCGTCAACAAAACATCACCCGTCTCCAGGGCAAGCAACTGGAAAAAGACACCGGTGTTCGGTCGAACCGGTGGAAACAAAATCGTCACTCCCAGAATAACTACGCAAAATAACGATCTAAACTCGAACCATTCGAGCCACAATATAAACATAAAAAAATGACTTTCGTTGCATTTGACAATGATAAACTTACCGAAAAGCCGTGTTCTTCTCGGTCGCTAACCTCGGTATTATCCGCCATTTTATTTGAGTGTGTTTGCCACCTGACTTTGCCCAGTGACGTCATCATGTGCGCTATAGAAGAAGGTCTGTGATTCGTTGACTAAAATCGTCGACAGTGGGTCTCGTTGAAATCCCGTTACATAGGCATCGGCTCAGATGTATGTAGGGCGGAATTTAAAAAAAATCACAAAATTAAAATCAAAGTAAAATAATAAAATAAAAAGGCATTAATAACAAAAGTAATAAAACATAAAATTAAAATAAGTTTATAGCCAAAATAATTAAAGCCCGTACACTACATCAGATTTTAATCAGATTGGAGCAGACCAACCTTTACTTGCTCTGAAAACATAGCTTTTAAAATTGTTTAAATTAACAGATGTTGTTCTATGTACAATGAATACATTTTAAATAATAAACCTTACTGTTTTAATAACAAATTGTATTTGACAACATGAGAATAATTCTGATGCCCAGTGGTGATGTTGAAACAAACCCAGGTCCTGGTAATATACTAAGACCTGATTAACAAAGAAGTCATGTACATCAAGGTTCACTCAGATTTATGAATGCAGTTTCTTGAGCAAGTATACATGTATGACAAATAGTTTTGTTGCACTTGTGTACTCTGAGATTCTGAACATGGGTCAGTGGAAGTTTTTAGTTGTCAGTACAAAACTAGATCATCGGAAATCACTTTATGATGAGTTGTAACCACAAAGAGTACATATTTATTCACCTGTTTGCAGATGTTCCTTGTACAACTTTATAATCAAATAACGGGGACTGTGACATTTCATGTCTTGTTTATATTTAGCTTGATATCAGTAAGACCAACAAAATGATGATAAGCTTCAAGACTTAACTCTAAACATTAGTTATCACGATCTATAGCTTAATTATTTACATGTTTTTTTTTTGTGTTTCTTTACATCTCTCGATTACATATGTACTCCTTAACTACGTGATTTCTACATAATCCCCATATATGTGAAATCTCCGATGTGGTCCCTAATTATGTGATTTTTACATGTTTCCTTGGTGGTCCCTAATTACACGATTTCTACATATCTCTTACATAGTCCCCATATATATGTGATTTCCTCAAGTCTCCTAGGTGATTCCTAATTTTGTGATTTTTACATGTCTCCCGATTATGTGATTTCCACAAGTGTTCTAGATGGTCCTGATATATGTGATTTCCTCATTTCCCCTAGGTGGTCCCTAATTATGTGCTTTTCAGAAGTCTCCTAGGTGGTTCCTAATTATAATCGCCTTATTTTTACAGATCCTATGTGGTTGTCCACCAACCTTGGTGTGTTAGTTTGTATAGAATGTAGTGGTGGACATAGAGATATGGGTGTTCATATTTCAAGAGTGCAGTCTTTAGAATTAGATAAACCTGGAACAGCACAATTACTGGTGAGTTTTTGTTACATCCTTATTTGGTAGTTATATGCCCATATTTGTATATTATTTTCTGTATGTGCCTATATTAGTAATAGTATTTTCTGATTAACATTTCCCTAAATTCCAACAAGGACTGAGTTATTTCCAATGAATTGTTTATTTCTCTATATGATATTCACAGCTGGCAACAACTATAGGAAATAGTATGTTTAATGACATCATGGAAAAAACACTTGACTTGAATCAAAAACCGACACCAACCTCCTCAGTGTAAGTATATATACTTTGTTAGCTTCAATTTTTATATTTTTTTTACAAAATCCAAATTGTTGGTGATTATCTTAAAATCAAATATGTGACCCAATATTGCTTAATAATGACGCGTTCCAATATGGCTTAATAGTGATGTGATTCAATATGGCTTAATAATGTTATGATCCAATATGGCTTACAGCGAGCGCAAGATATTTACATACACCTAACTCCCGCACCCGGTAGGTAATTATATACATGTATATATACCGAGAGACTTTGCAACATCCCTAGACACTTTCCTAGACGCTCCAACGCAATAAAGTTACATACAAGCGTAAATGACGGTTAATCAAAAAAAAAGGACCAGCGTTTCAGTTGGCTTCAACTATTATAACGTGTAAGTGTCCAGTCAAACATTCATCAAACAATCACGTTTTACTCATTGTTGATATCGGACACTTTATTATTTCATGCATACATATGGTTGTTCATTCTATTTTGAACGTTTCGCGAAAATAATAAACCTAGTTGATACAAATACATAAACATATAATGAAATTACCCTTGTGAGAACAGTTTAGTTTTCAATGCAGTTTCTGATTTTGAACAATTTGGACTAGCGAGGGCTACGGTTCAAGCAATTGTGCAGCATTTCTGTCGCAGCGGTTGGATACATTCCAAGAGGAGTAGCAGCCGTCGTCGACTGAATGTTACGCAAGAAATTTTTGAGTTTATCGAATTTTGTCTGAGATCTGTAGGATATTTGAAACTGGTATATGGTGACGGTGTGTAGGTGAAACTGAGTAGAAGATTCCAGGGAAAGTTTAATTGGGCTACCCCTCGTTCCTCGTGGCCACACATCAAAGGCAATCTTCGTCCAGAGTTTTGATTTAAACTGTCTTGTGAGCGGATATGTAACTTTATTGTGTCTACAACGGTCATTGGAGTGTCTAGGAAAGTGTCTGGGTATGTTGCAAAGTCCCTCGGTAATTGCCCTCTGCGTATGGGAGTTAGGTGTATGTAAATATCTTGCGCTCGCTGTAATACTTGGCATGGCCAACATCTAAACATTTCTGATTGTTATCTTGAAAGGAACTGTTGTATCTGTTGTCTATTTGTTTTTACTTATTAATTCATATTGTACATTTTTTTTCAGTGATGAAAAAGGTGCTTTTATTAGATCAAAATATGAACAACATAAATATGTAGAAAAAACAAATTTCAGTTTGGAAACAAATTTACATTATTTAGAGCGAGCAGTAGAATCGTCTGATATCCGAGGTTTATTACAAGTGTTTGCAGAGGGTGTGGATCTCATGACTGTTTTACCTAACCATGTAAGTTACTTTCGCCTAACTCTGCAAATCAATACCATTCTTGCCTAACTCCACATGTGTCCTATATAAAAAAGAAATAAAACATGCTGACATTTAAACAGAACTCATTAAAATTTCTCCCTGAGAGCATTCCTAAAGTTTTATAGGGGGCTCAAAACTATTATGTGACATATTTTGCTTGTCTGAATTAGCACAAATTGTGCATTGTTTCAAATTATTGTGGCTCTAGAATACATGTGCTTTGAAAGACTATTAAAAAATAATAGCATTCAAATGCACAGAAAAACATTGAAATTTGAAAACTTTGACAAATTGTCTTGTACCATATTCAGATTTAATGCCAACGTAACTATTTAGTTAATGTAAAGAGGTTTGAAAATGGTGGAGTTTAAGGAGTATCGGCACCAGCGTTACTATTTTGTAAAAATTATAGTGCTAAAACAATATTAGCTCCATCTTTCAACAAGTTTATATGTATGTTACTATGACATTTTACGTGACCCAGAGTTGTCAACTATTAACGCTCAATTGAAAAAAACAAAACATTGTTATCTATGCCTTTGTGTGCATTATTTAGTGACTGCCATATTTACAACTCATGTATAAATTTTGGTGTAAACACAAGATTATAGGATCGCAACTTATGTCAACATAACTTTTTCTAGTGAGAACATGGTTCTGATTCAACTATACTACTGTAAAAGGGTTAATTATTCACTGGGTTTTAATTTTGCTTATTTTGCTGACTTGAAAATGCACTAAATTGAAACACAGTAAATATGTAAAATTTAGCATAGAACACGTTATCTAAATGCTAAAACCGTGAATATGCCTGAAATGATAAATCAGCGAAATTTAAACCCAGTGAAAATTAGTAAATAGTAAAATGCCATTTTTGTTTCCATGTAGCTCAATGAACAGACAGCATTACATCTTGCCGTGGACAACCAAGACTATAGAAATCTATACATAGTGGATTTTATTGTACAGAATAGTATACAGGTTGATAGGAAATCAAAAGACGGTAATTCAGCACTGCATATATGTTCAATGCTAGACAGACCAGAAAGTCTTAAAATATTACTCAGAAGTGGAATTAAGTCTGATATAGGTAAGTATCATGTTGTTCTGTTATTATTTACGTCATCATCTAAGTTTAAATACACGTCTTCTTTGCGTCAATTGTCTGTTGCTATGGGTGACAGTTGTATACATTTTTTAGTCCACACTGTAAAATTGTGAGTGAAAAGAAATCACTATTTGCATGTGAAAATACTTATAATAAATCTTAGTACCTGCACTGCAGACTATGACACCCAAGTTGCAGTGAAATATCTAATGTCAACTAACCTCATACTGGTCAAATTTCTACAATATGCTATGTACCCATAAAATATTCAGTATGTGCATAGTTACTTGTCAATGAAGGTGATGAAGGGCCTGTGACCTACTCACAACACTTTGTACACCCAACCCTTGTCTATTGTTACCCTGCAGCAATGTATATTACTAGTGTCTGTTTCATCATGGACTTTTGTATCACCCTCTATTCTCCTCCTTCAAGTTGACATGCATACTACTCTTCAACAAATATATTTAAACAAAAATATACTTAATTAACTTTGTAACAGTGAATAAGAAGGGAGAGACTCCATTAGACATAGCTCAAGAATTGCAGTACAACCAGTGTGTGGATTTATTGAAAGATGCAGCAATTGGAAAGTATGGGCAGTGTGAGAACGTGAATGTAGCATGGGGATTCTCGGAGGATAGTAATGATGATGGTGTTGAATTCAGTGATGATGATGAACTGGAGGAAAGAGTTAAGGTTTGTTGTACTTTGTATAGTCACTGAGCCATTTACCCTCAGTGTGATTATTACTGAAATGCAGAAATCAAAACCAAAATGCAATAAGGTTGTGTACTTGTCACAACTGTCATGTAGATACGACATTAAACACAAATATGAATGACTTTTTGTTAAAAGAGACCAGCGATATATTTATTCAAATATTTTGATCTAGACATGTTGCAAATTATAAATTGTCAAGAAATTATTGAAAAATAGATATATCATTTCCAGAAATATTGAAGAATATATAAAAAAAAAAACGTGCAGAAAAATTTAGACAAGAAAGTCTGGTGGTGAAAACGTTATTGTGTGGCAGAGACAATTTGAGTATATATAATTTGTAGCTTGTTTCCTAAACCTGAATACTAGAAAGCTAATTGTTTATACTAATAATTTTGTTTCTTTCTCTGTAGAGTCCAGTGAAAAGAGTTAAGTGTAAGAGACCTGTTACTATCACAACGCTACCATCCAATGAGACCAATGGACATTCATCTGTTGTATTATTACGCGACAGATCTCAGTCATCCGGAAGTCGACGTGACAAAGCTGCTACAACAGGTGGCATGGTCAGTAGTGAAGATAGTAATGGTGAAAAACCTACACCAGCAACAAGATACAAAGGTAATTTCAACTGCATGCAGACACATACCAGTCCCAGCAGTATTCATACAGTGTGTGTGTGTTTGTCTACTGTTATAAGGTCAGAGTTCACAATTCATAGAGTCTGTAAACGCCTTGGTTGCCGTATTGCTCACTACACTATTTCAATGAGACCAAAATTGAGTGCCTTCACTATTCTGAAATTCAATGGTTCATTAACTAACATTTCCCTGTGAGTGAACAATGTATTTTGCTCAGTTATTCTCCAATAAAAAAACGTATTATCTCTGACAATCTTCTTTTTGGTCATAGTAAAAGTGCAATCTGACAAAATCTGCGTTTTTGAAATCTTTAAATTTTGATGATTATCAGTTGAACTCCAGTAGAAACTTTTGTTCATGTGATCGCTTCAGAGTATAAATCTCTCAACCAATCAAATAATGTTTTACTTCATATTGTGTACTCTGAAAACTCAATTTTATTAAAATTAATTAGTCATATTATTATAACATTGTTATTTGCTGGATTTGTGGACTTTCCACAAAGCTCACTGTGCTGTATACATGAACTTCTCTCTAAACCTGATGATGGCAGATCACATCTTGGGAAAAGTTCCATTATCTGTTTTTAATTTGGAATAATGAATTTATTGAATCAATCCAAAACTATTCTTTTAATTTGCGCATGAGAGATAAAATATTTCTACAACCGTGAATTACTCAAGTTTCACGATATATACAACATAATACTTTGCTGTTTGAAACATACATTCTGAGTGAAATGAAATGAAATTGCAAGATTTGAACGAGACTCCTCATCAGAGTTGATCAGATCTATGTGCGGTTTTCACAATAAAATAAAATTACAAACACAGTGGTAAAAGAAAAAAAAATTATACTCAAAAGCCAAAACAATTTTTTTCTTTGTTTTTAAGCAGATTGAATAAAATGAAAACTACTTGTCACATTTTTAAAAAAAGCGTTTTTTTTTGTGTGTTTCAGATTCATATCCACCACCACCTCCTCCACCGCATGCATCAAGAAGAAAACGACCTCCTCCCCCTCCTCCTGGAGATGGTCGTCCACGGACAGAATCAGATCCGATTCCTCCGCCAAGCCCACCACCTCCACAACCTCCAGTGAGAGTTGCTTCATCTAGAGGTACATGTAATTCTAACCTTAATGTGTTTCTGGATGTACAAACATATGTTTACTGAATTACTGAGTATACACAAGCAATTCTGTTTGAGATAGTGGAACATTGAAAATATATGAAATGTGTACGCATCATTCCTATAAGCCCCCTCTAGTGACAAACGGTTTTTGTGATGTCATAATGATCTGTATAGACCACTTTCCCTGGAAGTAGTGAGACTGGGGTTTTAGTAGAGACTGTTAATATTCGATAAAAGGAGTCATGTTAATTAGTCCCCGTTTGGACGAAGTCCAAAAACGGGGACTTATAATTCGGTCTCAGTCCGTCCGTGTGTCCGAGCGTCTGTGCGTCCGTGCATCCGTCCGGAGTCATATCTCAGAATCCCTTGGACCGATTCCGTTCATTCTTTGCATGTGCCTAGTACATTATGTGGGACATATGCACATGCAGTGGTTTAGCGATTCGATTCAAAATGGCCGACTGGCAGCCATCTTGTTTTTTGAAAATGTTGTATTTTGGACATGTTTTGTCAGTTTTCATTCAAACTTGGTACATAGATTATACATGTTAGGATACATGTCCATGACGATATATTTCGCAATTGGATCAAAGATGGTCGACTGGTAGGCATCTTGTTTTTGTTTTTTTATGCGGTATCTTGGATGTGCTCTGTCAGTTTTCATTCAAATTTGGCACATACATGTACTTTATACATGTTAGGATGCATGTCCATGACAATTTGTTTCAAAATCTGGTCAAGGATGGCCGTTTGACAGCCATCTGACTTTTTGGCCTTACTACTATATTTCCACAATTTATGTACCATTTTCATTCGTATTTGGCACATACATCATACATATCTCTGTGTTTCATAATCAGATCAAAGATGGCTGAATAACGGCTGTTTTTATTTTGGCCATATTACTATGACACGAAACATGTGTTTTCATGTAAATAAACAATCTGTTGTATATGCCACTTGGAACTCAAGTTTCAAGGACACGCTTGCGACAACCCCTCCGCTTTATATGACAAGCACAAAGA